CTGGGGGATCACTGGGGGATCACTGGGGATCACTGGGGGATCACTGGGGGGGATCACTGGGGGATCACTGGGGGATCACTGGGGGCGGGGTCTCTCGGCCCCTCCCATCCCGTCGCAGCCCCGTGGTGCCGACAGGGGGCGCTGCTTCACGCCCCGCCCCCGACCGGGAGCGGTCACGCGGTGGGCGTGTCTGTCTAGATGACATCACTGACGCGTTGACGTCACCCGACGCGTGGCGTCATCGCGTCGCGGGACAGCGGCGGCCCGTGAGTTTCCCTGGGAGGGGGCTCGGGGGGCGGTCACGTGACCCGGGGGCACGGAGGAGGGGTTGAGGGTGTCAGGGGGTGTTTTGGGGTCTCAGGAGGTGTTTGGGGGTCTCGGGGGTGCCAGGAGTGTTTGGGGGCTCAGAGGGGGGTCGGGCTGTGTTTTGGGGCGGTGTTTGGGCGTCTCGGGGGGGCACACGGGACGGCGGCGGGTCCGGGGCTCCCGCGGGAGCCTCTCATGGGGGGGCCGGGAGTGCTGGTGCTGGGGGGTCACCCCGAACCCCCGAGTGGGACCGAGGAGAACCGGGACCCCCCAACCCGGGGCCAGGGGCTGGGGTTGCTCCCGGGGCTGCTCCTCGTTAACGAGGTGATTCCACATTCCCGGCTCCTGCGGCTGTTCCGGCTGGACAAGGCCAGGCTGTCCCGGGGCTATTCCTGACTGCCCAGGCCAGGCTGTGCCGGGGCCATTCCCAGCTCCGGGGGCCATTCCCAGCTCCCGGGGCTATTCCCGGTTGTCCGTGAGATGTTGTACCGGGGCTGTTCTGGGCTCCCGGGGGAATTCCCGACGCCGGGGCTATTCCCGGTTGTCCGTGAGATGTCGTAACGGGGGCTGTTCCGGGCTCCCGGGGGAATTCCCGGCGCCGGGGCTGTTCCCGGCTGGATAAGCCGTTCCGTGCTGGCGTCATTCCCGGCTCCAGGGCCATTCCCGGCTGCCACTCCCGCTGTCTCCCATCCCATCCTTGCCATCCCATCCCGAACTACAACTCCCAGCTCTCCCGAGCTCTCTCGGTTCGCAGCCGGATCCGGCCCCGCTCGGCCCTTCCGCGCCCCAAATTCCGGGGGGAGGAGGAGGAGGAGGAGGAGGAGCAGGAGGGGCGGGGGGGAGGCCGAGGCCGCTCCGGGGCTGCAGAGCTCCTCGGGCCCGGCTCCCGATCCCGCTCCCGATCCTATCCTGTTCCCATTCCCACTCACATTCCCGCTCTCCCAGGACCCTGCTGCGGCCATTTGAGCGAGTCGGTGGCGGAAGGAGACCAGGAAAAGGACGGGAAGAGGCCGGGAAAGAGCCCGGGAAGAGCCTGAGGAAGAGCCCGGGAAGAGGCTGAGAAGGAGGCCGGAAAGGGGCCGGGAAGGGGCCCCGGGGGAGCGATGTCTGCGGGGGGAGCGCCCCAGGTACGGGGGGTTTCCCGGCGGGATCCCCCGCGCCTCCTCCGCCCCGGGACATTTGGGGGGGGGGCGTTTCGGGGGATTCCCGGGGCCGGGGACTCCTCCCGTGCTTTTTTCCCTCAACCCCTGGAACCCTCCAAGAGTTTTTCTGGGAAATCGGCGTTTTGGGAAGCCCCGGAGCGCGGGGCTTCCTCCGGCTCTGCCTCCGCCAGGCTCTGGAGCTTGGAAACATGAGAGGAATTCTGGGGGCACGGGGGGAGTGGGGGTTTGGGGGTTTCAGTGTCCCTGGAAAAGCAGGATCGGCTCCTCAGGGAAGGCTCCTCCCTCGGTGCAGATCCTGGGTGGAGAAGGATCCATTGAGAGGGTCAGGGAGGGGGGAGTCAACCCCCAGCTCGGGGGGCAGGGATCTGGTTTGGAGGGACAGGAATCAGATTTAGGGGGCAGGGATCAGGATGGGGGAACAGGAATCTGCTGGGGGAACAGGGATCTGGTTTGGGGGGGCAGTGATCTGGTTTGGGGAACAGGGATCTTTGGGGACTCATCCCTCAGCTCTGAGGGCTCTGCCAAGCCCTGCTTGCTCCAAGGGGGGCACAGGCACAGAAGAGCCGCAGCTTCTTTACGCTGGGGGAAATTCCAGTGGGTCCCAGTGCTGGCATTTCCTCTGGGAATGAGCCCATACAGAGCTGTGACCCCCCCCAGAGGACATGGGAGGGTGGGGTGACATCCCTGTTACCCGGGCAGGACACGCTCCAGTGCCGTGGGCTCCATCCTGGAGTGAGGGGCCTGGCCCTGGGATTGGGGATGTGGGAACAAGGGGAGGATCCCTGCCCAGGGAAATGTCCCAAACTGACACAAAGGGGCCCCAAATGGCCCCCAAATGCCGCTGAGCTGCTGCCCCCTCCCCAGCCCGCCCACGCTCTGGATCTGCTCCCGTACTCCCGGCTGAGCCCGGCGCCACGGGCCGGATCCCAGCTGGATGCCGTCAGCGCCGAGATCTCCTCGGATCCCTGCACAGGTGGGTGGTGGGGGACACGGGCAGGGGACACCGTGAGATGGGGGGTGGGGAATTCTCTGTTCGGAGCCCAGTGCATTTTTGTGGGAGCTTTGAACTGGGATGATGAAAGTGTTCCGGGGGATTCCCAGGGGTGGGAGAGGCTGCGGGAAGAAACCAGGAATGGCTCCATCCCACCTCACCTGGAGCCTGGTTCTCCAGAAGTGGCTCCATCCCCTATTCCCAGAGCCCAGTTCTCCTGGGAGCGGCCCAATCCCGCCTTCCCAGTTCTCCCAGTGGCAGCTCTGTCCCTGATCCCAGCTCTCTGGCTGCCAGCTGTGTCCCCCGTTCCCAAATCCCGGCTCTCCCAGTGACAGCCGTGTCCCCCCAGGGTACCGGTTCTTCAAGCCGGTGGGTTTGTTCGGGATGAAGCCGCCGGAGGAGCCGTTCGGAGCCGCGCGGACGGGCCCGGAGGACTCCAAGGCCCTGGGCAGCCCCTGCGCCGGTGAGTCGGGATCCACGGGAATGGGGGCGTGGGGAGATTGGAGGCTCCAGGGAAAGGATGGGCTGGCACCGTGCGAGGACATTTGGGGCCTTCAGGGACATTCTGGGACCAGTGTGGGGGCCATTCTGAGCCAGTGTAAGATAGTTTAGGACTATTCTGGGTCAGTTTGGAGCCAGTTTGGGGCTGGTCTGTGGCCATTTTGGGCCAGTTTGCAGCCATTTTGTGGCCATTCTGGGCCAGTTTGCAGCCATTTTTGACCAATTTGTGGCCATTCTAGGCCAGTTTTGGCCGGTTTTGTGGACCAGTTTTTGCCATTTTTGGACCAGTTTATGGCTGTTCTCAACCAGTTTTGGCCATTCTGGGCTGATTTTGGCAGTTTTGGGCCAGTTTTTGTTATCCTGGGGCAGTTTGCCCCCATTCCGGGCCATTCTGAACCGAGTTGTGGCCATTTTATGGCCAGTTTATGGCGATTTAGGGTCACTTTTGTACCAGTCTGGGCTAGGTACTGGCAGTCAGTTTTTTCCTGGCACCACCCCAGCACCACTGTGGGCGAGGCCGAGGGGTGCAGGAGGTTGGGGTGTTCCACAAACTGGGGAGTGCAGTGGGTTTTGGGGGGGGGAATTTGGGAGCACTTCAGGCTGTCACAAACTGGGGGCTTTGAGGGGATTTGGAGGCTGTTGGGGGAGCCACAGATCACTGTGATTCCATGTTGGGGGTCCCGCATGGAGTGGGGGGGGCTGGATCCAAGGCCTTCCCACTCAGGACAGCCTAGAATTCCCCGAGGGTCGGGCTGACTCTGGGATCTCTCCGGTGCAGTGGAGCCCGGGCGGGTGAGCAAGGTGGAGCCTGAGGAGAAGCCCGGGATCGGCGCCGGCTCCCTGGAGCTGTTCCCGGCCGCCGGCAGCAGCTCCGGCCGCTGGTTCCCCGGTGGGCAGCGCGGGCCCGAGCCCCCCCGTGACCCCCCGGCCCCCCGTGCCGGCTGCTGGGGGGCCCAGGGGGGCGTCCCCGGCCCTTTCCGCTGCGGCCAGTGCGGGAAGGGCTTCCGGCAGAAGCAGAGCCTGGTGACACACGAGCGGATCCACACCGGGGAGAAGCCGTTCCGGTGCGGGGACTGCGGGAAGAGCTTCAGCCAGCGGCCCAACCTGCTCACGCACCGGCGGGTGCACACAGGCGAGCGGCCCTTCCCCTGCGCCCAGTGCGGCAAGAGCTTCTCGCAGAAGGCCAACCTGCTGGCCCACCAGCGCATCCACGGCGCCCACCCCGACGAGGGCAAGGCGCGGGCGCGGCCGGCGCGGGGCTGCGCCGAGGACACGCCCTTCGTGTGCCCCGAGTGCGGGAAGAGCTTCCGGCAGAAGCCCAACCTGATCACGCACCGGCGCATCCACACGGGCGAGCGGCCCTTCTCCTGCTTCCTGTGCGGCCGCAGCTTCAACCAGAAAACCAACCTGGTGACGCACTACCGGGTGCACACAGGTGAGCGGCCCTTCGCCTGCGCCCAGTGCGGCAAGCGCTTCACCCAGAAAACCAACCTGGTCACGCACCAGAGCACCCACACCGACCTGCGCCCCTTCCCCTGCGCCCAGTGCCACAAGTGCTTCAAGGACAAGGTGTCCCTCAAGGCCCACCAGAAGACGCACGTCCCCCGCCAGCGCCGCTGCCTCGCGCGCGGCCCGGCCCCTGCCGCGCCCTTCGGGGCTGCGCCCGCCCTGCTGCCCCCCACGCCCACCCCGCAGGACCCCCCCTTCGCCCCCCTCCCGCCCGCCCCAAAGCCCCCCGAGGGCACCGAGCTGTTCCCCTGTGAAGAGAAGGGCTTTCCCCCCCCGCCCCCAGGCGAGCCTCCCTTCCCCTGCACCCACTGTGCCGACGCCTTCTGCCCCAAGGTGCCCCTGCTGCGGCCCCCCGAGGTGCCCCCAAACTTCTCCCCCGGCCCTCCCCTCCTGGGGCCTCAGGGGGCACAGCCGGGGCTGGGGGACGCCACAGCCCCCCCAGAGAAGCCCTTCATCTGCAACCAGTGCGGGAACAGCTTTGGGCTCTGGCTCGCCCTCGTTGCCCACCAGAAGAGCCACGCGGGGCACAAGCCGTGCCCCGGGGCCCCCCCCGAGCCCAGCCCCGGTGCGGAGCTGCCCCCTGGGTCCCCCCCGGCACGGGCAGGCGAGGCTCGGCCCTGGCCGTGCCCCGAGTGCGGGCGCAGCCTGGCGCAGTGTGAGCGGCTGCTGCGGCACGGGCACGGCGCCGGCGGGCGCGGCCCCTTCCGCTGCGACACCTGCGGGAAGCGCTTTAGCCTCAAAACCAACCTGGCCACACACCAGCGCATCCACACAGGTGAGCGGCCCTTCACCTGCGGCGTCTGCGGCCGCCGCTTCAACCAGAAGGGCAACCTGGTGACGCACTACCGAGTGCACACGGGCGAGCGGCCCTTCGCCTGCACCCAGTGCGGGAAGCGCTTCGCGCAGAAGCCCAACCTGCTGGCCCACCAGAAGACCCACCTGGGCCGCCAGCCCTTCACCTGCCTCGAGTGCCCCAAGCGCTTCAAGAGCAAACTGTCCCTGCGGGTGCACCAGCGGGTGCACGCGGGGCCCCCCGGCACCGCCCCCGGCAGCGCCGACCCCGCCGGGGCCCCCTTCCCCTGCGGGCCCTGCGGGGAGGCCTGCGGCGAGCACGGGGGGCTGCCGGTGAACCCGCGCGGGCGGCCGCACTCCTGCCCCGAGCAGCGTCGCCCCTGCGCCGAGCACCACCACCCCTGCACGGAGCAGCACCGCGCCTGTGCCGAGCAGCTGCACACCTGCGCCAAGTGCCCCTGCGCCAAGCGGCTGCACCCCTGCCTCGAGCAGCCCCGCCCCTGCGGCGAGCAGCCCCACGCCTGCGAGCGGCCCCACGCCTGCGAGCGGCCCCACACCTGCGCCGAGCAGCCCCACACCTGCGAGCGGCCCCACACCTGCGCCGAGCAGCTGCACCCCTGCGCCGAGTGTCCCCACGGCTGCGCCGAGCGGCCCCACGCCTGCACCAAGCAGCCTCACGGCTGCGCCGAGCACCCTCACGCCTGCGTGGAGCAGCCCCACGCGTGCGGCGAGTGCCCCCACACCTGTGCCGAGCGGCCCCACCCCTGCGAGCAGCCGCTGCCCTGTGCCGAGCAGCCCCAGCCGTGC